TTCATTGTAAATACCGTCCGCAAATATTGGCCGTCGATGCTCGCATACATTAAGCGTTTCTATCTGAAAAAAAAAGAAGAAAAAATTTCGGCCGGGATCGCCTCGGAACAGGTTCCGATCCTGTTCCGTGAAAGCGCGCGGGCTTTCCATTTGTTTGTTTTACATCTGAAAACGACTTCGGAATCTCGGGACACAGCCTCCCGCTATGCCGTTCTTACGATTTCTTCCGCGCTAACGGGCTAAATTGACTGTCATTTCTTTCCGCCGGTCCTCGTTAAGTTGTCACGCGAATAATAGAAAGTTCGTTCTGTGATACACGAGATCTGAATTCGAAGCAGCCGTGATTATGGTACTGGAAACGCTATGGGTGCTCGGTAAAATCTGGTCGACGATGGAACTGGCGAAGTTGCATTGTTTCCAAACTGTGACCAGATTTTTTCGGACTTTTTCTCTTGATTTTTATTATTATTATTATTATCATTATTATTATTATTATGTGGTCGCTTCTGGGGATCATGTTGAAGATTTTCCCCCGCCATAAAGAGAAAAATTATTATTACTATTATTAATTATTATAACAATAACAATTAATAATAATAATAGTAACTTCGACATAACCAAAAAAAAATAATAATTATTATTTATTGTTATGGAACGGTGAAATTTGCAGATCTATGCGCGAAATAAAAATTGTTTGCATCAATTACGAAAAAGAAAACCAGAGATCGGGTTAAATCGTATTTTCCACGTCATGATGTCAATAAATTCGCAATATATATGTGTAATATATAATAATAATATAATATAAATAATAAATATAATATATAATATAATAATGACTGCATAGAATCTCTAGTCCAGCAATATTTAACCCTTTGCACTCCGATGTTGCCGATACGGCGACATCCGTAACAGTACTATGATTTTTATTTCGATTATATATTATAATAAAATAAAAATATGTATTGGCATATATATATTGTTAGAAATATAAAAAGAAGCTTCGGAGTGCAAAGGGTTAACGAAGACAAAGAGCAAACTGAATCTGCCAGTAAGATCTAAGAAAGACGAGTCGCGCGGAAGGAACGATCGAGCAAAAGTAAAACGTCAACGAGGCAATAATTGTATAAAAGTAGGGACCGGATAGATTATGCTTTGCAGCTGCAGTTAGGATAACAGGACAATGGTAATGGAGAAACAAACGCGTCGTACGAGACCGGTTAAAAATAGCAGCGCGCCTAAGTGACCGTAAAACGCATAAATAGAATATCTTGGTGCATTGTCAGTGGCAAAAAGAGGAACGACAGTAATAAAAACGTTGTAATTCGAGGAGGAGGAGGAGGAGGAGGAGGAGAGAAAACCGTTGCAGGATTGCACGCACGATTATGGCGATTATCGCACGAAGTTCCTTGACACCGTCGTGAGATGTGCGAGCGCCTCCGAAGGCGCATAAATGTTTAATGAACGATGATATAACGATCGTAAATTGCGATCGTACGCGAGGCGCTGCGAGAAAAAAAATACAGAGACGTGAGTGACGGAACGTAAGAGACGCGAGAATTAAGAGAGAAGGAAAGCGAGAGTAATACAGTGAGTGAGTGAGTGAGTAAGCGAGTGAGTATGTGTATGTGAGAATGACTGAGAGAAGAGGGAGATAGATACAGAGAGAGAGAGAAAGAGAGAGAGAGAGAGCAAAATAGTAGCAGTAAAAGACAGAATATGAGAGAGAGAGAGAGAGAGCAATAAAAGAGGGAATATGAAAAGCAGAGAGAGAGGGAGGGAGAGAGAGAGAGAGAGAGCAATAAAAGAGGGAATATGAAATGCAGAGAGAGAGGGAGAGAGAGAGAGAGAGAGAGAGAGAGAGAGAGAGAAAGATAGTAGCAATAAAAGAGGGAATATGAAATGCAGAGAGAGAGGGAGAGAGAGAGAGTGAGAGAGTGAGAGAGAAAGAGAGAGAGAGAGAGAGATTCCTGTCCCGTTGAAACGAGGGACTTGAATGCGTGGACGGTCCCAGCGTCGGCGACCTGTCGTGGATACTGACGTAACAGAAAAAATTGCATTTCGCACTCGACGATGTCACTTAAACCCCATAATACTCATTGCGATTCATTGCGATCCATTGCGATTCATTTCTTTCCACGACTTTCCCTTTTCTTTTCTCCCCTCCGCAAGAGTCACGCATCGTCGACCTTCGGTAATACGATTTTTATTTTCCGGCTAGAAAACTATTAAAGGGGAAAGTTGTCAATACACTGCCAATTAACATGTTTACCGGCATGTTGCGCTCCTGCGTGGATGACATAATTCAATCGCAATACGTACTTGCAGAGGCTGCAGAAAGACTATCCGATTTTTCGCTAGTTGTTGATGTTCAAAATTGTTATAATTTCGCGAACAGAGTTGTGCGACGATAAACCTCGACGCATTTTAAAATTTGTTCTTGACTTGTCCATTTGTTACTTTGTCCCTTTCTACATTGTTCATTTGCTACTTTGTCCCTTTCTAGATTGCTCATTTGTTACTTTGTTCCTTCTACATTGTTCATTTGCTACTTTGTGTTGCTTTATATATTGTTCCTTTCAACATGGTTCATTTCTACTTTGATCCTTTCTACATTGTTAATTTCTACTTTGTTCTCTTTGTCGTCCTGCTATTTTATTCTCCAACTTTGTTCTCGTCGCTAGCTTTCATGCAAGATTTCTTTTAATTTTTATTTCCTTTGGCAGTTTCTCTCTGGCTACTTTATTTTATTGTTCTTTTATATTGCCTGTGCTTCTCTGTGTTTTCTACCCTGTTTCCTTGATATTTGATTTCTCTCGCTATGTTGTTCTTGCTACTTTGTGTTTTCTTTTCTAAATTTAAAGTCATTGTTTTGAAATGTTGAATGATAATGTTAAGATTAATGTTCATCCATTGAATAGAAAATCTATCATTTTATAATGATTTTTATTTCTTCATCTTTATATTTTTCCGAGTTTATTAAACAATTTTACAAAGTTGGTAACCTTGAAATAATCACAATTTTGTGTTCTCTCAGAACCAAAATCAAGCTTTCATCAGAAAATTTCGTTTTCCTTCCCAATTATCTGAATGAAGATTTCTGTTTAATTTAACTTTATAAATTTTATGAATAGAGCTCTGTCCTAAATTAAATAGAGATTTATTTCTTAAATAGAGATTAAATACAGATTTGATTTCTTAAATACAGATTTGATTCTTAAACAGAATCGTCTTAAATTAAGTAGATAAAATTGTTTCTTAAATGGAGTTGTATTAAATTAAGTACAGATTTGTTTCTTAAATACAGCTGTCTTAAATTAAATACAGATTTGGTTCTCGAAGTAGAATTCTCAAAGCCATATTTAAAGCAGAAAAATCGATTCCATGAAAATTGCAAACATCTATTTAAGATCACAATTATAGCACCGCCATTCTGCATCAACGTGAACGAAGTCCAATTACTAATTCACCTAATCGTGCTAAGTGTGTGTGTGTGTAACAAATGAGATTTTCCTAAATGGGTCAAGCTGTTTCACGAAGGATAAAAAGGAGGAATATAGTAATGACAATCGTCCATTAGTGGCAGAAACTTATTCGCGAGAATTAAAGGGGAAGGAAACACGGCTGGCAAGGGGGGGACGGAAGTGGTTTCCCGATTATACTGAAGCACACAATGCCGGCGATCGCATAAGATATCGTAATTGTTCCTGCGTTCATTGTTGCGGACATCTATTGTACGACTGTAGGCAGGATATTTACGGAAAGAAAAGAAATGCGCGTCCAATGACGTTTTTATCAACTTGCGTATATTTTTTTTAAAGGGACTACCAAATTTTTCCAAAAACTGACGATCTTCTGGAATGCCTTATCCTAAATAAAATTTCTGCACACTCAAATGAAATAGTTTTATTATTTGAAATAGTTTTACTATTTGAAATAGAGTCTATTCAGTTCTGCTTGCAACATATGCAGTTTTTAAAAGAACTTCCAAATTTTACCAAAAACTGACTAAAATATCTTTTTAACGTCCATAACAATATTTTATGCATTTCAATATCCTTCGAATAAAGTCCTGTTCTAACCAAAGTTTCAACAATTTGAAATGAAATAGTTTTATTATTTGAAATAGTCTACTCAGCTCTGCTTGCAACTCGTGCATTTTTCCGAAGTGCACAATCGTTTAAATCGCAGTCGTTTAAACGGCATAATATTGACAGTATTTTCCAAATTTCCGTATCGAAATAAAAGCCTGAATTAAACAAATTTTCTATAATATCAAACAAAATGCTGCTCATCGTTGCTCGCAACCGTGGTGCACTTTAAGAAAGTCCACCAAATTTTCCCATAATATTTTCTCGGAATGTTCCAAGTGACACGCTATTGCCTTACCGTTGCTCCAAAGCGTGAGAGAATGAATATCCTCTAATATTCAGCAAAAGTCAATTCGAATGGCTCTCTCTCTCTCTCTCTCGAGAGAGAGAGAGAGAGAGAGAGAGAGAGAGATTCCCCGTGCGTGTACGATTCAATTATCTTTAAGCTGGCTGTGTATGGCCGAGAGGTGGATTTGTAATCGGAGGCACATGATTATCGTGTGCTTAAATGTCAACGGTTTTACACTCTTTCCTGGTATTTATGCAGGAATGCCTCTCCCGTCGACGATTTATGACGGGTGTCCCATTATGAGATTCTCACGAGAATCGGTTGCGAAAGGGCTGCTCGTATTGGACGATTTGTCGGTCATATTTTGGAAATTAAAGTTTTCTTATATCCAGTCCATTTACACAGAAAATAAAAATTCCATCAATTATTCGGATAGTTGCGTAACAATGGTCACGATTATTATGATAACAGTCAAGATTGCTGTAACGATAATAATCACAATTGTTCTGATAATCGTTGCGATAATAATCATAATTAATGTGACAATAATCGCGCACGATTAAGATTTATTTGAGCGATTTCAACGAACGAAAAATAATTGTTGCTTGTTTCATTGACAGGGCCGAAGGAGTTTAATTACAGAGGCCACAACTATTTCTACAGCGGTCACATTCCCGCTCACGCTAACCAGAGGGTGGACTGGTTGGATGCCAGAAACATTTGCAGGGAATACTGCATGGATCTTGTGTCGATTGAGACACAGGATGAGAATAACTTAATCTACAGACTTATTCAGCAGAGTGAGTATTTTTAGAATTTTGCAATCTGATGTAGTTCGTTTCTTCATCGATAATAATAATAATACTGTGCGATAATAGTAGATCAAATCACAAAATATTTATGCGATATTTAGAGACGTTTTAATATGTAGCATTTCTTTTTTAGAAAAATGCGTCTTTATCTTTTTACCCGTTGTAACACGCTAAAATATCTTAAAAATATATGTGAAAATTAATAATGGTCTGTAAATGTAGAAGCTTTAAGAAGAGTCTAGATTTATTGCCGTGCAATTTTTATTCAGTAAGTTATAATAGTTTAAATATTGATAAAGGGAGAAGTGCATCAAAATCTTTAAAAATCGGAAATGTTTAAATACTTTTTGGAGTCTGTGATTAATTAAACAGAAGAAAGAGCTATTCTACAATGTCGAAAGAATCAGGATCTTGNGAGATTCCCCGTGCGTGTACGATTCAATTATCTTTAAGCTGGCTGTGTATGGCCGAGAGGTGGATTTGTAATCGGAGGCACATGATTATCGTGTGCTTAAATGTCAACGGTTTTACACTCTTTCCTGGTATTTATGCAGGAATGCCTCTCCCGTCGACGATTTATGACGGGTGTCCCATTATGAGATTCTCACGAGAATCGGTTGCGAAAGGGCTGCTCGTATTGGACGATTTGTCGGTCATATTTTGGAAATTAAAGTTTTCTTATATCCAGTCCATTTACACAGAAAATAAAAATTCCATCAATTATTCGGATAGTTGCGTAACAATGGTCACGATTATTATGATAACAGTCAAGATTGCTGTAACGATAATAATCACAATTGTTCTGATAATCGTTGCGATAATAATCATAATTAATGTGACAATAATCGCGCACGATTAAGATTTATTTGAGCGATTTCAACGAACGAAAAATAATTGTTGCTTGTTTCATTGACAGGGCCGAAGGAGTTTAATTACAGAGGCCACAACTATTTCTACAGCGGTCACATTCCCGCTCACGCTAACCAGAGGGTGGACTGGTTGGATGCCAGAAACATTTGCAGGGAATACTGCATGGATCTTGTGTCGATTGAGACACAGGATGAGAATAACTTAATCTACAGACTTATTCAGCAGAGTGAGTATTTTTAGAATTTTGCAATCTGATGTAGTTCGTTTCTTCATCGATAATAATAATAATACTGTGCGATAATAGTAGATCAAATCACAAAATATTTATGCGATATTTAGAGACGTTTTAATATGTAGCATTTCTTTTTTAGAAAAATGCGTCTTTATCTTTTTACCCGTTGTAACACGCTAAAATATCTTAAAAATATATGTGAAAATTAATAATGGTCTGTAAATGTAGAAGCTTTAAGAAGAGTCTAGATTTATTGCCGTGCAATTTTTATTCAGTAAGTTATAATAGTTTAAATATTGATAAAGGGAGAAGTGCATCAAAATCTTTAAAAATCGGAAATGTTTAAATACTTTTTGGAGTCTGTGATTAATTAAACAGAAGAAAGAGCTATTCTACAATGTCGAAAGAATCAGGATCTTGTGTCCTCTGAGAACCAAAATCATGCTTGCATCAGAAAATTTCGTTTTTCTTCCCAAAAATCTGAATGAAGACTTCGGTTTAATTTAACTTTATAAATTTTATAAATAGAGCTGTTCCAAATTAAATAGAGATTTGTTTCTTAAATAGAGTTGTCTTAAATTAAGTAGGTAGAATTGTTTCTTAAATAGAGCTTCCTCGAATTAAATAGGCAGAATTGTTTTTTTTTTAAATAGAGTTGTCTTAAGTTAAATAGGTAGAATTATTTCTTGAATAGAATTGTCTTAAATTAAATACAGATTTGTTTCTCAAACACAATTGCCTTAAATTCAATACAGATTTATTTCTTAAATTGAGTCGTCTTAAATTAAACGTAGATTTGTCTCTTAAAATAGTGTTGTCTTAAATTCGGAAGACTCGAATCTGTACATTTCTATGCACAATGTTTCCTTCGCGAGAAAACTGGCACAATATTTCGCGACTTATCGAGGCTTTAGGAATGTGCCACATGTTATTATGTAAACGTAGATGCTACTTCGGTTTCTGTGTTTATGGTGGCAGCTTATTATGTGCCCCATGTTTGTTCGCGGTCGCAGCTATGTGCCGTTTGTCTTTCTCAGCCTTGGTGGTCGCAGTTTGAATGGACACTGTGAAACAGTTTATGTTGGTGTTTTTTAATTGCTTCATCTATCGTGTCCCCTATTCAGACGTCGCACACGGCGACCAGAAAATTGCTACACACAATTTCGTACTCGCATGCCGATCAAACGAGAAATTTTCCGCGGCAGATCTGTAATTAATTGTAATTTGAACTCGGTAATCATCGTCCGAAATTGAACGACGCCAAAAATACGGAGCGCAATAACTTCACAGCTTAATTGAAATATCCGTCGATGATAATCATTTTCCTGAAACGATGTTGGCTTATTTCTGATCGCGAGCAAGAATTAGTGTCAAATAGGGGCGAACCTTGGACCAATTCTGATCCGCAAATTCTCATTTCCAGAAGCAATCCTATTTGCTGACCTGCAATATTACCTGTAATTACAATATGTCCCACTGAAAATATGCATGCTGCCTTAAAGTGGAAGTGTACAATCTAGACTGCACGATCTAGATTCCAGAATGTAGGGCACAATGGATATAAAAAAGATTCTCGACTATCCACTGGCTAATTCTTTACAATTCGTGCATCTCTATCCCTAGGATCGTTCGAGACTTTATGAAAGCATATTACCACGACAGAAATCGTTAAGACTTCTTCTAGTGGACATAAAATCCTATTGCATAACGACATACGATTTCACAATGCTGACTGGAACGGCAACAGAAGAAGTCAAAACAATTAGCACGTCGCGTTGTTAAAAGTGGTGTTGAACCCATCGAGTACATATATAACTTAGTATATGTACTATATTAGTTATATACACTAATACATATACAATATATAATATAATGTATATATAATTATATATAATAATTACAGTATATAATTATGTAAATATTTATTTACTTATTTATGTACATATAGGTATTATGTAAATCGATTTCTCAGTTTACGCAGAAATACTGAAGCACTCGAATCTTTTCGAATCTGCAGAATGAAATAAAAAAGAAGGTCGACGTTTCCACATCTCGTAATTAAAAACGTTAAAAGCTAAAAAGTTAACGGATTTTTGCGTATTAATTGCAGTATCAAAAACCGGTTTCTAGATATAAAATAAATTCAAAATAAGTTGAGCTGAAGTTGGCTGAAAAAATGATGGATTTTGTGAATAAAAAAATTAGCTTTTCCGACGGAAAATAGGATCTGTTTCGACAGCCACCGGGGAACATCCGGCAGCCGAAGGTCAACGATTTAACGAAGCAGATCGCGGGCGATGTAACGAACGTGTTTTCTAGCGTCGATATCATCGATTCAGTATTATTCCCATCAGAAATTCGTTAAACCCTGTCGTAACTAGCTTAGAAAGTTCTGCGAAGAACCGCCGAGAAGCAACCGACAACGAGAGATACAGAAGCGACCAACTTCGTGAGCAATTTATTATATAGCCAAGCCAGTAACTTTCATTCTCGCTAGGCAGATAGTTCAGAAATTTCGAAACCCGAACAGTTTCAGTGATTTATTAACGTCGCATCTCCAGCCGCGGCGTTTCGTCACGACACGCGAGAAAACACGGTGCCGATATCCTGGCATTGTTCAGACGATACCGCGTCGTCACTTTCCTATCGAACTAGATCCTTATCGATCTGTTTCGCATACTCGATTTTTCCCGAACGCTTTCTCGACAAGACAATAAACATTTCCAAACGAATGTCTCAATAATTTCCAAGCAAATATTTCAAATGAGAATTTCTAAACATATATATTTCAAGGAAGAATTTTTAAATGAATATTTCAGATGTTAATGACGAGATAAACGTTTCAAATAATAATTTCACTTGAAATTAGATTAAAATTATTTTCAGTGAAATAGTTGTTATAAAGTAGTAGCTTGAACACATAATGTAACGGTGTAATTTGCAACGAACTTACGATTTTGCAAGAACGAATGTAACATTTGTTCATAACAATGATCCTAGAATATCCAATAAGTCGGTGATTTAACGTTTGGATCTTCAAGGTAAAACCGGGGGATCTTTAAGTAGGTTGAGGCTGAGGAATCTCATCCTTTTATATACATTGTTGCATCACAAAAACTCATCAATCTTTCGAGCGCACGTGCGCAAGGACAATATATTCTGAAATTCACCTGCTTCATATAAAAAGCAAACCTACTCGATTTCTAAAAAAAGATCTGCCCATCGTATCTCTGTCAATACAAATTCAATTTGGAAGATTGAAAAATCAGTATGAGATCACCGATTTCAAATATGCATGTACGTAAAATTAACTGATGCTAGCTCATACTTTCACGGAAATATCTTCATCCATATTAATAACCATACAATATTTTTATATATCATATTTTCTCAATAAATAATTCCTATTTCAACTGTATTTCACATATATTCAATTTCAAAGTTATTAGAAAGGAACTTAATATTTTATAATTTGCTCCTGAATATCCGAATTAAAAAATTTAACTGCTTTTGACTGTCTTTGTCATTTCAGAATATACATATTTATTATATATAACTTTTATCATATGTCTTTCATTTACAGTTTAATAATTTCACTTAAACTATGTTAATCACACACAATAAATTGTCTTTTATCCAGACGATGTTCCCTATATTTGGACGTCCGGACGTATCTGCGACTTCAAGGGCTGCGAAAACCGCCGTGACCTCGAGCCAAAGTCGCTCTATGGCTGGTTCTGGTCCGCGAACCGGAAGAAGATGGCGCCCACACACCAAATCCCGGATGGCTGGAACTTCAACCCGTGGTCCCAGACCGGACACAAGAAGGTTAGGCAACCGGACAACGCGGAGTTCGATATTAATGGTACCAACGAGTCCTGCATGTCCGTTCTGAACAACGTCTACAAGGATGGCATCAGCTGGCACGACGTGGCTTGCTATCACCAGAAACCTTTCGTCTGCGAGGACTCCGAGGAGCTTTTGAACTACATAGCCAGCACCAACCCAAGCCTCCGCCTTTAAAAACCAAGTTCTGAGTAAACAAGTTCACGTCATCAGCACCTGCCCTATTCGTCTCTGCAAGTTAGGCGAGACAACAGCCAAAAAAAAAGGAATGGAAACGAGAACCGTTGTCAGAAATTTCCACTACAATAAATAACTATTTAAGCGCGAATTGGTTTGCTGTTGTTTTTAACCCTCTGGGACACATGGTATTAAATGGCAACCCTTGATCCGAATTTATTAATTATTTCTTAACTGTTTACATATTGATTGCTCGTCCTGCATTGGTGGGGAAGAGTAATTGATAGTTGGTAAGCATCGAACAGAAGATGATTTTGTTAAATTCTTGAAGAAATGAATGAAACTGTGGCTTAGGGGGTTAAGAATTTGTTATTCTATCTGGTTCGTCAGGCTTTTGCTAGTAAGGACTATGTAAGATACAAGAAAGTAATGACACAGACAATGGATTATTCACTGTCTCCCCTAATTGTAAACAATACACTAAATTTTTGTCTCAAACACACAAAGAATATTATGTATAGTATGAACGAATAACATGTTTACCAATGTAATGTTAGAGTATTTATTTGTATTCAATAACCTGAAAGAATAAAAACTGGAACGGAAGATTCAGATTAGGGAAGAACGTCTCGCCGTTACATAACATATTATATGTCCCACAATTCAGGATTACTTTCATAATGTACCTATTTCGTTATTAAAACGTCCATTAAGGTGTAAACGTATTTATTAATAGAAATTCGGCTGATAATTTGTACACAATTACGAATAAACTTTAGGTCATAAATAATCGTTTCATATTTATTTATCAAATCTGGAGAACGTGATCAACAACGTTCGTCCAAAGCTATATATAAAATTTCACTAATTGTCTGCTGTGCTGGTACTTGGTTTAACTTCATCGATTTCTTCCTTCCCTTCCTCCGCGTTAGGTTCATTCTTTTTTCTCCTTTTTCTGGCCTTGAGTTTGCTAAACTTCATTTTCATTCCACGTTTGGCTCTTTGCTTAGGAATATCTGTAGGATCTGCAGACGAAATATAACAAAATGTAAATTAATTGTAATTGAATTCGATGCGAAGCGCTTACTGTTCTTTTCAATTAACAATACGTACAATCATCAGGTATGTTCATTTGCTTCCTTAAGACAGCTCGAACTTGTCTATTAATAATTTCCCTACATTGTGCGTCAAAACCAATTGGTAACCACCCTCGTTTCTCATGGCACCTTGTAGAAGGTAAGGGATCAGGTAACTTGGCTAACATTTCTTGTATTTCATCTACCAGAACATCGCAATACTAAAAGGATATTTATAAAGTAAAATTTCGAATGTCTATAAATGTTTAGAACTTGACGCTATAAAGAAATTGTGGCAAACCTGGTAGAACATTTGCCTCGATGGAGGTACCATTCCATGCCTGTATATATAGACATTTTCATGCATGTCTAACTCTTTTCTACTGACTTGTTCCGACGTTGAGACTCCACTAGAAACTACCTTTTGTTTTCCAACTGGTGTTGACCTGTATGGCAAGGTATACTCTGAGTAATTTCTCTTGCATTTTACAGTAGAGCCCAAGCCATCTAAACACAAAAAAGAAATAATAAAATAATTGCTCTTATTTTATGTAATTGCAATGGAAATAAATCTTACGCATAGATTTCAATCTGTAATCCAAGGTCTGATATTTTCTTGCAGCAACATCTTTCCTCGGATCGTAGCCCAATTTTACCCACATAATCTTCCATGGACCAGTCATGAAGTAATATGCCACAGAGGGTAATAAAATTTTCAAACGATCATGAGAAAATTTCGTTTGATAAATCACTGCACTTTTCGACCAAATTGGTCGCTCTTCAAATAATTTACGTATCTGTTGGTAATGCGTGTTCTGTACAAACTTCACTTTCATAGCAGTTTCTATACCAGCTGGTGGCTTGGAAGGAACTTCGGGCGTTGAAAAGTAAATGAAGTTTGAAAATCCTGCCTTTCGTTTTGTACTCTTCCCTATTATATTGTCTGGACATGAAGATGTTTCTGTTCTTGGCACATATTGCTGAATTGTGTCCATTCGGCTGAATGCTGCTGGTGGCAGGAAATAAGGTGCATCATTCTTCAACCAAGAATATCGTGGTATATTACTTGGATGTATCTTGTCGTATATATATTCTAACTTCTTAGGATTCTCTTTACTTGGAGTCATTGGTAAGTATTGGTAATCACAAAGGTCTAAAAAATATTACTTTACGTATTTCAAGTTAAAAAGACACAAATACAACATAATATATAAGCAATACATACTTGTAAATTTGAATTCCATGTCAACCCATCCTAAAACCTTCAATTTTGGCAACTTGTACTCCTCATCTTTAGAGAGATCTTCGAATTTACTTCGATCAAATGTTGGCGGTATGTCTTTTTTAATCTTTTGTGCAGTAGGCTGTGGAGGATCAGTAGCATCTTCCTCATTATTAACACTGCAACTCTGTACTTGATCAGCTAACCCAGATATAACTTCTTCTTCCTTTTCAATTTTGTCAGTATCCATAACTTCTGTTTCTGGTACTTGCACTCTACTTGCATTCTCATTTTGCACTTTGTTACCCTGCGTATTACTTAAACCTATATTTTTGTTTGTTTGTTTACCTTCAGCTTTTTCTACTTGTTCCGCTCTAGACTTTTTAACTCTAACTCTAAGTAAAAATCCTTTGGTCACATATCTATCACCACAAGTCGGTTTACAAAAAGCATCATCTGGTCTGAACTTTAATTCCAAACGTCGGTTTGGTGTATTTACTGCCTGTTAACATATAAAACTAATTATGGTACAATGTTCTGCATTTTTATACTCATTCTTAAAAATATATTGTACCGTGGAAATGACGCTCATTCCACCCAATGTCTGTATAGCCCTTTCTGGATTAACAACATTTCCAGGGTATTTAATGCAAATAAACTTCTTGTCAAATCTATGTCCTCCAGGAAGTACTGGGCCTATGTAGTCATTTCTGCATTGTTCATCTTCTTTGTCTTCGTTATTTTCAAAATGCTAAATATATGTATAATATTCATTTTTTATATGACAAAAAAATGTAACTCTTGTATCAAAATTTTTTAAAAAACTATGATTACATTCATTCAATCTTACATGCTTAACGCTAGTATTTGTTTCTGGTACATCAGCAGAAGAATCATCGCTACCTAGATCTTTACGGTAATCATCAATATTAAAATCTTCATCCTTCATATCCTGTGCATTGGAAGTTTCCTCAGAACTATCAGTACTTGCTACACTCATTTTGTATTTTTGCTTTAACACCCTAAAACATACATTTTTAAGTTTCACACCCTGATATACTGAACAATGTCAACACATAAAATTATTATGATCTTATAATATTAATATAGAATACTGCATTCAAGTGTATAATAAACTAATTATTTATTTCTTCTCATAAATAAAATGCAATTTCAATTTGTATGTTTCATTTTCAGCAGGTAGTTCATAGTCTACATAAAACACGTGTGTTTACTTCTTAATATCCTTAATGTCTACTACAAAATATTATTAAATATTACTTACAGAACTGAAGGTAATAGATTATAGACAATCACACAAGTATTGGCCTAATATTTATCATTTTTCTTCATTATTTTTACCGCAAACTTTGAGGTTAGGAAAGTAGGCATGGCAGAATATTCGTATAAGAATGGTTGCCTCACTGCAGGCAATATAATATGCTTCCATATTTTTTATAATTACGATATAGAGTTTTTTTTAGTAAATTAGTATATTTAATTGAATGTAGAAAGTAATAATTTTTAATGTAGAAAATTGCAAAAATGCAATATCAAATACTGTAAACACTCAATATTGAACTGCATAAAACCGAATTGCATATAAAATACAAACTGATAGAAACAGCCCTTATTATTATAGTATTTTAGTATTTGAATATTATGAAAAGTATTTAAATATTACAATTATTATTGTGTACAAAATTTGAAACGCCATGTTGTCAAAAAATATATGACATTGGATGCAAGAATGAATGATTAAACGTTGGGGAATAGAAAATGATAGCATGCATTTTCTTCGATTTCCTCGATTTTCCTCAGTTTTTTTTGAATAAAATATTTAACACAGTAAATATTGTAATGCTGTCAATCTCGTACACATGTCAATCAAGAACGAAACAGAAAGCCAATACAAATAACGAAATACGATCTAAATATTTCCTATTCCTCCTAAAACTTGCATACGAAGGCCAGTCTTTTCTACAATCAAATATTAAAGTTAAAGAAAACGTTCAAGAGTTTATACAAAAATAATGTGTGCACACAAAACTACAGACAAAATATTTAGGTGAATGCATAATAATATCATTGTAATATTATTTTAATTATTAACGTTATTTTAGAAATAATTGTGAAAAAAAGTTTACTGATAAAAAAAGGTCGTCTTTCACTATATTTAATGATTAGCTTATTAATTTTGTTTCAATGTATATTCTCTGTTACAAACTGTTGGAAAATTGGCGCATTCGACAAAGTACGTGGTTCTCGAACAAATGGAAACGTCAATAATTGTACGTTGTTTATAAATGTTGTAACTTCCTGGTTCGGCTGAGCTAGGAAGTTCTATGAACTGTTATCAACTAGCAAATAATTTCCAAGTTGTGTGTGAATCTTTCATTCACGACTTTTCGGTTTAACCGTCCGCTTATAGTGCTTATGCCCTCCCCTTGAATCGTTTGTTCGACGATGTGTTTCAAAGAACTGCAGCTTCGTCGAACTAATATTTTCCGTTCCAAATTCTAGTTTCCCGCGTTACTGCTTTCTAACGTTTCAAGATGCTCAATTATGCTACAATTGAATTTAATTCTGTGTGAATTGAATTCTTGAATTTAAAACTTGATTACAATATTAAATGCTTCTTGTTCTTAATTATAATATTTTATATATTTATAATATATAATATATAATATGTAAATAAATAATAATATATAATAAATATATAATATATAATATTATATGTATATTTTCTCAATTATAATATTATATGTAAATATTTTTCTATTAAAAAAATAATAAATTAATTAATAAATTAATGCTATATCTTTCAATTACGGCATTGAATTAGACTCAACTCTTTGCTGTCGCAGTCATTTTAACTCGAAATCCAAATCAGTTTCTCCAAGTTATTTTCATTTTATCAGGGTGTTCCAAAAGTATCTCGCAATCCGGAAGTGGGGGTTCCTGGGCCCAGTTCTGCTGATTGGCTCGGTTGTCACGTGCCAGCTGATCTTGCCTCTGATTGGTCATTGTTTTTCGTTAGTAACTCGTAACCAATGCCGCCGATTGAATTTTCGTTAAGGAAAAAGTTATTTCAAATGACCTGAGGAACCCATTTCCCGATTGCGAGACATTTTTGGGACACCCTGTATAATCTGGTGCATTTCGTACATATGAAATTGAACTTCTCACGAATTTCTCTTGAATTTCTCTCATGCACCGGTTACACTTTTAACAGTTTTTAAAATACAAATTCGATAATGTTAAAATTATTTTGAAACGTGATGTAGCAATTTTGAGCAGTGTCTGAGAGTCTCCACTCGACCGTAAAGGGTTAATATACATTAAATCTTCTTAGTGTTCTCCTCAAAGACTAACGGCGCTGTACAATTTCTAAGAGTCGTCTGTCTATTAATTGACAATATGCAAAATCGTTGAACAGTCACGTAATCGTTTCCTGTTAGCAAATGTTGCAACAATGGAAATTCCGCAGGTTCGATTCATTATAATAACCGAGTTTCCGAGAAATCTAACACTCTAATAAGCGAGCTTGCCATTGGAAAGAAGGCGTGGATACCTAACAGGCTTACCTTGTGAGAATTATGTATGGGCATATGGGACCAAAGCAGCTGTATAACGGACAGTTTTAAATAATTTAATCGTCGTCGACGGTACCGACGTCGTGTAGCGGATTTCTGCGCGGATTTTCAATTAGACACCCCCGGAACCCACGAGACGCAACGATCGGCAGAACTCGTTAACAGTTTTCGCAAATTATCGTCTAACCGATTAATTTTTACTCAGAATGTACCTACAACACTTTGCACGACTCGAGATCAGACTTCGCATGAACGTCTATGAAAAGTCAAGCGACTGGCATTGCATTAATTGAATAAATTAAGTGAATCGTTTCACAAAGTAATTTTATTAATGAAACTGAAACTAGAGAAATCAACAATTTACACTGAGAACCATCTTTATAAGAACAAAAACATTGGAACATTGGAACGTTGCAACTTAACACAGGACGATATTGTCAAATTAAGTTATTTACTTAATTTATATTCTCAACGAAAGAAATATTATTTTAATATATTTTCAAAGTATCATATTATTGTTTACGTCTAAATGGAATTGTTTAAAAGCCAGCTGAACGAGTACTCTTATTAACGAGCGTATAATTTAAATTGGGTAGCCAATTGTTAGTATCGCGAAGTTCATTGCGATTTCTCGACCGAGCTGATTGTCGTCATCTTGACCTTGAACGTGGCCACCACACTGTCCGATACCTACTTCGTGCTTCGATAACGAACGTATGTGATTCCTATAGCCCTTAAATAGCATACTTTAACAAAAAGATTGGGAACGCGAAATGAAACATACGTTTCTTCTTTTGAAACTTTTCCGCGACTGCGACAAAGATACAATAAATTCTTCCTAATTGACGCTTACATTGTATACAAAAATAGACAATTTGGGAAGAGGCTCGTTTTTATAGCTACTGAATAATCGAATAATATTATAATGTATATTATAATATATAATATTATAATATAAATATTATAATATATAATATTATAATATAAATATTATAATTATTATTAATAATAATTAATTAATAATAATAATAATAATTTGCCATTTTTGTGTACGATTAGGGAGAGCGTCAATTAGGAAGAATAATGGTGGCTTTTGATTCACGTGGTTTCTATGAGGCTCAGGTTCAGAATTTAGACAGAAGAACCAAAAAGTGGACAAATGAAATACAAAAGTAAACAGCGATATTTTGATTTCATCAATATTATTAACGCTTGCTGGCACCGCCTTTCGTCGTGCACCGGCGGCACGACGATAGCGTAATTTTTATGAGTATGGTATTTTCAGTGGCCAATGAAAGTACAGTAAATTCTCCCTTATTGACGCTCAGATTGTACAGAAAAATGGTGAACTTGGTATTACTGTACTCTTTGAAGGGTTTCGAAACACGCGCGCCTCGTTCTCGGCCAGCGAGTTTCCTTCTAGAACATTAGTTTGTTTGGTCTGAATGCACATAAACGTCGTTCGAAGCAAGACCGACGGTTATCCCTCGGGGGCGTAACGGGCTATATTACTGTCCGCGAAAGCTAAAGCATCACGATTGTTGTACCCGTAAACTGTCCGTTGATGCATATTGGGGGTTGGTTTGCACATGCAAGGTCGTTTCAAGGTTCACCTAATGCCGATCGCCTTACGAATTGTCTCGTAATTACGCAACGATCATTGAAGTATTATTGCGAGCGCAGTTCTCAACGAATAACTGCATTCGAAGCGACGCATCCCCTCGATTTCAGTTTTCCAACGAACAACCCAACCTTCGACCGCTCCGCTGTACTAACGAGCTTTAAGTTTCGCGACGGTTAACTTAACTTTTAGCGTCCCGTCGTGCAAACTTAGCAAAGTAACATTCTTCATCGGTTTCGTTCCCGACCTTCCACAACCTTGAACGAAAGTCATAACGTTTAGAAACTTGAAAAGTTTCGGTGTCTCCCAAGACTCGACGAATTCGATTGTTATACGGGGTGAGTTTGGGATTAACCGGATTGACAGGTTGATGTTTTCAATTTTTGTTTTGTTTATTATTTAAGAAAGAGTTAATGTAATTCAAATAAATGTTTAATATTTACAGTTAATATGATTCATATAAGTATTTAATATTTACAGTTAATATCATTCATATAAATATTTAACATTTACAGTTAATATAATTCATATAAATGAAATATAATTACACCAATTTTCTTCATATACTGTTTATAAAATATATAATTTAATAAAGACTGTCAAAGTATATATTCTTTTTTACAAAAACGACTGGTGTTCGATGTTTTCTTTTACGGTTCCTGATATTATAAATATATTTCTAGGAGAAATTTTTAGGTACACTTTGTTATTGAAATATACACATTAATAGTAGAAATCGTAGGAAGTTTAAATAAATCTTCAGACTTGGAATTGCTATAAAACAATATACATTTGTCGCGTTTAGGGCTCGGTAGTTTCGGCGTTAATAAAGATGGAAGAACAAAGTACAGTAAGTTAAAATGCAGTGAATTATAAAATATAAATATAGCAATATATATATAAAATAAATAATAATAATAAATAAATAAATAAAATATTATATATATAATAGTATATTTAATATAGTTACCTACTATTATATATTATATATTATTATATATTATTATATTATACATTATACTATTACGTTATATATTATATATACTGTTATATACACATACTACCTCACTATAACTAAAATATAGTTACCGATTGTCGACAACCATTAAAAATCTTTTGTTCCCAAACTGAGCGTCAATTAAGTTGAATTTACTGTACCAATTTGAAGCGAGATTTCCACCCCGATTTCAAAATTCGCGAACGGCGCGAAATCGTTTAAATTCGAAACGACGTCGCGAGCTCGTCGAAAGGTGATCTAATTAGTGCGGACACCTGACCCCACGGCGAATCGGTCGCCAAGGGGCTTAACATTGAATCCGCGGTTTCGCACGCGTGTACGCCAGCTGACGGGGTTGGTCAATTAACATACATGTATGCAAAACACGTTGACGGAGAGCCACGGGAAGTCTCGGGACGGGTCTAGCTGCGCATGGGCGTCTCTATGGCGACAATTGACTCTTGCCACGACCTCTAGTTGCTTCTATCAATCCATTACAACGTTATCACGCCGCGGCGAGGAAACGCAAAGTTTCCAATCCGGGATCGTGCCTTCTACGACGAGCTGCGACCATTGCTTTCTCCACTCTCTCTTCGATCTCCGAGCGGCTCTAAAGGATTAACCACCTCGGATCCAGGGATCTAATACCGGCGAGTAAGTTGGCTCGCGGATCCCGCGTACAGTGCTCTGAACGTCGCTAAAATCGTGCTCCCGATCCAGCCCCGTTTCACGCGAACACAACTCGAGTAACCTCTGTGAACGGTTACTTCCACCCTTCTCTCCACGCTCGAGAATATTTTCCGAGAAGCTCCGACGTTTTTACCGATCGACGATGGCTGGTATTTCCCACGCCGTGCTCGCTGTCGTTTCTGGAAGATTGCGCGATCGATTTCTCGACGATAGATGACGCTCGATTGCGTTCCCGCGATCCGATCGCGGTTTTTTTACCTTATGAATGAAAACGATCCCGTCTCGTGTCGCTCGGCTTCTCTCATTGATGTGCGACGGGGTTGTCACGCCGCGGAAAATCAATCTAAGCTCATTCGACGTTCACGCGGTTCCGGTCATCTCGCAGGCCGATCCTCGCAGCACGGCGTAACGTTGTTGCGACACGTCGAATCGGCGGCCAGCTGCAACCGTTGTTTTTTGATACCGCCGCGAGATTGATTCCGCGGCTCTCGACGCACCAGGGGCGAGCCTCGGAAATCAATCGACCGGCAGCGAGCACAGTGTTTATGCCGTGAAACTGGCGAAGGGGAAACTCGCGATCGCGGATATGTCGCTTTTGAGTCCGAGAGCGGGTTAACCCCTTAATGCACAATTTAAAAAAAAAAAACCGACCAGAAAAAGTCAATTTTTTTTATCTAAGAAAATACATATTTGGACCTTAATTTCAATAAATATGTAAAAAAATGCAAAAATTACTAAAAATTCAATAAAAATAGTGGATAAATAATTATAGCGAATATTGAATCGCATTGCAGATCGAATTTTGTACCCATCGTACTGTTTTTCAATTAATATAGGTAACATAACATAAGTTGCGACGCCGACCGTATATATACGGGTCTGCACATTTTGGCCGGTTTTGCACGCCCGTGTTAATACGTTTCTGCGCGTTAAGGGGTTAAAGTTACGGTAAACGTTTAACATCGAAGAACCCGTAATCGGATCTTTCGAAAATTGCAACTTCGTTTTAATCCTTCGCGCTCGGAATAGATTTTGCAAACTGCAGAGTTTTGGCAGATCTTCGCAGATTGGCAAATGTTTGTTATACGGAGTCGAATTGAAAGACAAGTCATTATGCTGCTTGGAAATTTTATAGGAACCAATAATAATCAAAGATTTTGCGTTTACAACGCTAGATTTTCGGAACACAAAAACAACGGCTGCTTTATATTAGTTTATAAAAGTAACAGGAAAACGTTGATTCTGATTTTGAACAAGTGCTATTGTAACATTTGCCGTAAGTAACATATAAATTGAGTAAATAATATCTTTACGATACGAATAGTCGTAAATGAAAATATATTAGTTCCCCTCGCGAGTCTGTCAACAACAATTCCGACAGCTGAAAATTCGCATCGCCGAAGACGGCGCGCCCTCAGTTTCGAATATAAACGCTGTGTCCTCGGTTCCAACGAATCGCCCGATTTGCAGATTTCTCGTCATCGAAAATGTTTAAAAAAAGGTGGTAAAGGTGAACGTGCTACGACCATGCCTCGTGTCCGGCCTGCCACGTAAAAATCGTCGACCGTACGCGGGTGGTGCTCGAAGATCGCAAAAAGAAGACATCGGCGCGTCTGCGACATCGTCGAAGGGACTCTTGGAATCGTCGAAATCGGGATTGTAATAAATTCGCGAGTAAAACCGCGGAGATTATTCGGCCTGCGGATCCGGGCAGTTGTCGACGGAAGTTTGAGACAGTCTGGCAGATCGATCGAAGGGTTTCTAATGTGAGAGAGACGCTCGAATCCTCGATGAGACCTCTGAGGAACGTGTGAGCGGAAAATGCATCGGTCGGTTGGAAGCATGTGAGTAAATGGCCGTGACGGGTTCCCGCCATCCTCTCAACGACCTACTATGGGNAACGTTGTTGCGACACGTCGAATCGGCGGCCAGCTGCAACCGTTGTTTTTTGATACCGCCGCGAGATTGATTCCGCGGCTCTCGACGCACCAGGGGCGAGCCTCGGAAATCAATCGACCGGCAGCGAGCACAGTGTTTATGCCGTGAAACTGGCGAAGGGGAAACTCGCGATCGCGGATATGTCGCTTTTGAGTCCGAGAGCGGGTTAACCCCTTAATGCACAATTTAAAAAAAAAAAACCGACCAGAAAAAGTCAATTTTTTTTATCTAAGAAAATACATATTTGGACCTTAATTTCAATAAATATGTAAAAAAATGCAAAAATTACTAAAAATTCAATAAAAATAGTGGATAAATAATTATAGCGAATATTGAATCGCATTGCAGATCGAATTTTGTACCCATCGTACTGTTTTTCAATTAATATAGGTAACATAACATAAGTTGCGACGCCGACCGTATATATACGGGTCTGCACATTTTGGCCGGTTTTGCACGCCCGTGTTAATACGTTTCTGCGCGTTAAGGGGTTAAAGTTACGGTAAACGTTTAACATCGAAGAACCCGTAATCGGATCTTTCGAAAATTGCAACTTCGTTTTAATCCTTCGCGCTCGGAATAGATTTTGCAAACTGCAGAGTTTTGGCAGATCTTCGCAGATTGGCAAATGTTTGTTATACGGAGTCGAATTGAAAGACAAGTCATTATGCTGCTTGGAAATTTTATAGGAACCAATAATAATCAAAGATTTTGCGTTTACAACGCTAGATTTTCGGAACACAAAAACAACGGCTGCTTTATATTAGTTTATAAAAGTAACAGGAAAACGTTGATTCTGATTTTGAACAAGTGCTATTGTAACATTTGCCGTAAGTAACATATAAATTGAGTAAATAATATCTTTACGATACGAATAGTCGTAAATGAAAATATATTAGTTCCCCTCGCGAGTCTGTCAACAACAATTCCGACAGCTGAAAATTCGCATCGCCGAAGACGGCGCGCCCTCAGTTTCGAATATAAACGCTGTGTCCTCGGTTCCAACGAATCGCCCGATTTGCAGATTTCTCGTCATCGAAAATGTTTAAAAAAAGGTGGTAAAGGTGAACGTGCTACGACCATGCCTCGTGTCCGGCCTGCCACGTAAAAATCGTCGACCGTACGCGGGTGGTGCTCGAAGATCGCAAAAAGAAGACATCGGCGCGTCTGCGACATCGTCGAAGGGACTCTTGGAATCGTCGAAATCGGGATTGTAATAAATTCGCGAGTAAAACCGCGGAGATTATTCGGCCTGCGGATCCGGGCAGTTGTCGACGGAAGTTTGAGACAGTCTGGCAGATCGATCGAAGGGTTTCTAATGTGAGAGAGACGCTCGAATCCTCGATGAGACCTCTGAGGAACGTGTGAGCGGAAAATGCATCGGTCGGTTGGAAGCATGTGAGTAAATGGCCGTGACGGGTTCCCGCCATCCTCTCAACGACCTACTATGGGCACCTGCCTGGACACTGGTGAGTACCTGTTGAAAATGATGCCGATCCTGGAAATGTTTGTCGCGACTTGTTGCAGAACGTTCGAGTCGCTTTTGTGAAATTATTCACGTAGAAGCGTTTTTTTCATTTTTACTGATTTTGATATCGCTGTTAATAGAACGCTTCGAAATTAGAATTTTTGTAAAAAGTAAAATGGCGGTATTATCGGAACGTTTGGATCACTTTTACCAATTTTCAAATGACGGTATTATGCAGGTTATGTTTAAGTTACCGGAATAGAAAATGCCAGTATTATTGCAGTGCATTTGAATTGCCGGAATAGAAAATGCCAGTATTATCGCAGTGCATTTGAATTGCCGGAATAGAAAATGGCGGTAGTATATCAGAGCGTTTGCATTACTGAAATATAAAATGGCGGTGTTACATAAGAGCGTTTAAATTACCGAAATATAATATGGCGGTGTTTTACGTAAAAGTATTTAAATCACTTTCGCCGATTTTAAAATGATAGTATTATGTCGGAGGATTTGTAATCACTTTTACAAAATGGAGATCACTTTTGCAAAATCGAAGCGCTTAAATTATCCATGCAAAATGGCGGTGCTACATGACGTTTCAATGATTTCACGAAATACAAAATATAGCGTTGTACTCTAAGTCGCTATCTAAAATCTGCGTTATGAAAAAGACCTTGCTCCAAACAGATTATACTGTTTGGCTGACCAACGGATGTCTAATACTGCTCGCACAGTTATTAGCCATCGGGAGCTCGTCGTCTTGATAAATGATGGTACCAATCTAATTGCGCATCTTAATAGAGACTTCATCCACTTTTGTCAGGGATGAGTATAATCTATTTGAGCTTGCCCACGTGACTTTGTCTACACCGACGTTCGAAAGTGTTCGAGCTCTGAGAATGCTCGCGGAAACATCTAAGTGTCCTTTTGAATTTTGTTCGATCTACTTCTTTAGACGATTATTCTTGGTAAAATGGAAACATTTCATTTGAATTCGTCGTTAAGCGGAATATTAATGAAGCACGATGCGCAGGTGATTATAACATTTATTCTAGTGAAATAATAGAAACTATGAATAGAATGGAATAATGATAAACAGTCTAATGTACTTAATTGATAATTAATTATTAATTGTAGGTAGATAATAGAAATGGTTAAATTTGTTAAGAACGAAGTTTTTGCAATGGTCTTAATACTAAAGATTATGTAAAAAGTTGTCAAATCACCAAAAAATTAATCTAATTGATCTAATACGAATATTCGTTGTTTCTCTTAAGTATTATCTTGGACTAAAGATTATGTAATACTAAAGATTATGTAAAAAGTTGTCAAATCACCAAAAAATTAATCTAATTGATCTAATACGAATATTCGTTGTTTCTCTTAAGTATTATCTTGGACTAAAGATTATGTAAAAAGTTGTCAAATCACCAAAAAATTAATCTAATTGATCTAATACGAATATTCGTTGTTTCTCTTAAGTATTATCTTGGACTAAAGATTATGTAAAAAGTTGTCAAATCACCAAAAAATTAATCTAATTGATCTAATACGAATATTCGTTGTTTCTCTTAAGTATTATCTTGGACTAAAGATTATGTAAAAAGTTGTCAAATCACCAAAAAATTAATCTAATTGATCTAATACGAATATTCGTTGTTTCTCTTAAGTATTATCTTGGACTGCTAAAAATGTCTTTGTTTCTCTTTTGGGTAGTGGCTACAAGAGCTATTGATCCAGTAATGTGTGTAATGTCAAGTACAAGGTGTATATGTGGGTCACACGTGTGTTTCGACTACTTTGTTTCTGAATAAAGAAATAGTAGGAAGCGTGTTTCGGCTCCATTACTGAAATTAATTATGTTGACCACTACTCGACGTTATTCGTTATAGCAAATTGCACAGCGATGCCACCGTTAATTTCATGGAAACATTTTCTGAAAATTTATAACGAATCTTATATAGTTTTCTTGACAAAAATGTAGAAATGTTCACTAAATGTTTACGACAAATGACAGAATATTCTCTCTATTTGGTTAATTAAAATAATAATAATATTCTATTGAATTAATTTGTAACGATAATATTCTATTGAATTAATTTGTGACAATAATATTCTATTGGATTAATTTGTAACAATAATATTTTATTCAATTAATTTACAACAATAACATTCTATTCGATTAATTCGTTGCAATAATATTTATTTAATTTACAACGTGATCACGAATTCAGGAAACATTTTAGTCGTAGTTTTTAATCAATTGTTTACGCAGTTCGCTATTATTGCTAATCAGCGTACGCCATGTTTGTACCGTAATTGCTCACAGCGATAAAAAGTCGAGTAATAAATTTATCGAGGCATTTTTATGTACCGTCAATTAATTTGAAGTACGTGTCAGGTAGCGTCGTAAAAGTGTAAACAAATGGTAATCAGATAGAACAGGCGAATATGTTATCAGTCGGTCATAAGTTATCACTAGAAGCACCGAAAACCATATATTTTTATATGGCTTCGGTTATCCTTGCTTTAAGATGCAAATACTAGTGAAAAGTTTGCAATTAACCGGCTACCATATTTCATAAGATTATGTCAATTTCACAATCGAGAAAAAGACAGTGAAATATCGCCACTATTATATCTGTGTTGATCGCGTGCAGTTAATTGGAATCAATTCATTTTCACACCTGATGCAAGTCACTTGAAGCTTGGAAATTACCGCCAATTTAATGTTGCAGGTAATTTTAGCAATTTAACTTTCTACAAAAGAATTATTTACACTCTCGAAAAAATCGTCCGTTAAACAGTCAATTGCAGTATGTTCGTGCAAACGGGATGCAAGTGCAATAATAATTTACCTAATAGTAATAATAATAATAATAATAAAATTGCGTCGGTTTTTATAGTAATTCTATAATAATAAAATAAAATAATATAAGATTGCATCAGTAAATAATTTTCTGTTGTAAATCTTTTCAATAATTTTATAATATTCACATTGCGGATATGAATGCGAAATATAAATTATTAGCATCAATTACAAGGAATGAAAACCAAATAAAAAAAATTCTTTAATAATTATAGAACAAGTTGAAATTTATGTATTAAAGCTCTTCAATTTTTTCACATTCTTTTAGTGTTTTAAATTACACCTCACTTTTGTGATAAACACGAAAACTTTACATTTATTGATCGTTGCACAAAAATTATTATCTTTTAACTCTGAGGTCTGTATAAAATTTAAACGAGTTCAATAATATTCTACATAATATTTATGTAGTTCATAAAATCGTATAAAATTTCTACCGGTTCTATAAAATCGCAGAAAGTTTCTCCAAAATTGATATACATATACCCTCACCGAATTACGAATAAACAAATATAACACCTCGTCAGGATCAACATCCACGAGCATTAAAATAAGCGAAAATAAATCAATAGACGCGAGCCACTACGGTGCTGGAGGATCAAACGTGTGCGAACAATTGTCAACATCAATTTAATCGGTTACGAAAGCCGGTTACGAAACTATTTCATTTTGAACATAATCTGACATACGTTGTTTCACGCGTGTCGGTAATCGTTGCAAACGATCTAACAGGATTGACGTAGTTTTCTGTGAATTTTCTGTACAGACTATAACGATTCAGCAAAATTGTCTTGTGCGATCATGTTGCTTCCGAACGTAAAATTCTTCTATAATGGTTACTCTTGTTTTATCTGTACATTGAAATTACTGTTGGAATTGTGTTCTGTTTACTTTTGTAATAACACTACAAAATTATTTATACCGGGCAACAATTTGTACTATTCGAAACGAAGATCGTTAGATTATTTGTTACAGTACAGTTTTTATTTTTATTTATTTTGTTTCGTTGTTATTATTTTGTTTTATAATTTATGGAAGTCATTTTTATTTTTGTTTACATGTATCTTTGAGGTTTTAGGGTGCATTTCATAGTTTCTTACAGTTTTATAGTTATTTTATAATTATTGATTATTATTGAATTCTATATATTTATTTTTGTAGACGTATTTGCAATAAAAGTCATTTAATGGTTTAATAAATTGAACGTTATTGATCTGAAAAGGCAGCATAAGTTAGATGAAAAAATAGCACAAATTTGTAAAAGTCTAATGAACAACAACAATAATAATAATAATAATAACAATAATATACAACAATAACAATAATAATATGCTGCACCAAACGTAATAATGACAAGTATACATTTCCATCCTCATTTGCAACATGCGACATTACAGAGTTATACAATATTATTGAATTCTATATGTTTATTTTTGTAGACGTATTTGCAATAAAAGTCATTTAATGGTTTAATAAATTGAACGTTATTGATCTGAAAAGGCAGCATAAGTTAGATGAAAAAATAGCATAAATTTGTAAAAGTCTAATGAACAACAATAATACAATAATATGCTGCACCAAACGTAATAATGAAAAGTATACATTTCCATTCTCATTTGCAACATGCGACATTACAGAGTTATACAATATTATCGACACGTTATGCGAATAATCACGTGTAGTTCAAAGTTAAACGCGTCCACTTATCCATAACAACACGTATTGACACCGACACCTTTTTCGCATCGGCTTTTTGAATCATGCGATCACACGTCTATCGTGCGCTGTTCGTGCCGTGATAATCAAACGCTTATTTATCGACAGTGCACCATTACACTCTATACAATTTTTCGATTATTTTGCTGATTTCTATCGTATCTCAAGGGACGATTGTACCTGCTCTGACTTTTTCGAATATGAGAAAACTAAGAATTTGCATAAAAATCCCCAATTTATTTATCTCCTTGAATCTTATCTCCTTATCTTATCTCCTTTAAATTCTTTTATATTTATTTTCAAGAGGCAAAGAAAAATGTTTACAGCGAAACAATAATTTCTCTGACAGTGAAATATTCGTAACGAAAAACTAGAATTTGAAGTCTTTTCATTGCTGGATTATTTCGAATTCTGAA